ATTCGAAATTATTTTTAAAATGTGTGCTAGTAAGTTTAATGTGCTGTAGTTTGTACACTAAAATTTCATCCCACTCATTTATCTTACTTTGGATCGTTCTTTATGTGTTGCAGTGTGACGACATCGGGACTGAGGTCATGGCATTGAAGCTGGTCCAGAGACTCCCAGGAGGGATTCTCACCGGTTCCATCTTCCCGGCAGCCCGCCTGGTGTGCGCAGCCTGCCTGTGCGCATCGGCAAGGCGCTGCATCCTCACAGGGGGCTGCCGCCGGCTCCAGCTGTCCCGGGGCACCAGCAGCCTGACCGCCATCGTCCGGGAGCCGTTTTTTGCGGGGCCGCACAGGGACATGGCACCACAGTTCCGTCTCACCCAGCGGCATGGACCTGCCGACGCTGACCAAGAGGAGAGCGACTTCCGCAGGCGTTTGAACTCCTGCTCGTCTTCGGCCAAGGTGTTCAACAAAAGCTGTCGTTAAATTCACAAATTGTCACTCTAAAATAGAATCACATTTTAAGTACCTTTATAGTACTTTCCATCGCGGTGCACCTAATTGCATTAAATTCTCATTTGAATTTAACGGTGACAAATTGAAATGCGCTTCTACTCAATGGCCGTTTCGTTCTTCGACAAAGGTTTTCAAGCTGCTGCGCTCGTCGGTGGTGGTATCGGAGGGCGCGGCCGCCGCCGCCCTCCACCGCGTGGCTGACCTGGAGCGGGAGCAGGGCGAGAGCCCCTGCCTGCGGGACCCCTCGGTGCTGGAGGACGACGCCGTCCGAGCCCTGTGCCTGCAGCTAGAGCGCGACTCGCGCCTTCTGTCCGATTCCGCTCTGTTGTCTGCGCTTTCGGCGTGCACACGTCTCTACATTGACCCCTGGAGCAGCCTGATGGTGGGAATTTAAAACAGAAACGCTCAAAAGTTAAGTTTGGTTACAATCCTAAATGAATTGTTGCACCTGTAATTTGCATACTTTTTGCACGTTTAGGTGCGTCTGTTGTCGGAGAGCCAAGAGAGGCTGGATGGCGGCGATTTGAGCGTGGCCCAGCTATGCACCCTGGGCCGGGCCACGTTGGCCGTGGAGGGCCCCGGGGGCGGCATGCTGGCCGAAGTAATGGCGCAAATCCAAAAAGCGGGACCCTCGTGTTGGAGCTTAGATGAGCTCATGGCCGTTTACCAACTCCTGCGAGACGGTGCAGCCGTCGACGGGAAATACCGCGACCTCCTGAATGCCATGCATTCCCACGCCGTGACGGTGACCCCCTCCATGGACGAGGCGGCCG